TATTTATTGTGACTATTATGCATACTGCTGCTATTAGCATTTGTGTGCAAGTTTTTATGTAAACATATGTTTTCAATTTTTTGGGGTATATATTTAGGAATAGAATTACTGGGTTATATGATAATCCTATATTTAACTTTTAGAGGAACTATTAAACTGCACCATTTTACATCCTCACCAGTAATGTAAGAAGCTTCTAATTTCCCCACATTGTCAGCAACACTTATTTTCTGTTTCTTTTTTTCTTAATTATAAATCTTAGTGGAAGTGAAGTGCTATTTCACTGTGGTTTTGATTTTCATTTCCCTAATCCAAATGATGTTGAGCATCTTTCCATGTGCTTATTGGTCATTTGTTTATTTTCTTTGGAGAAATATCTATTCAAATCTTTTGTTCATTTTAAAATTGGTATGTTATCATTTTAGTGTTGAATTATAAGAACTCTTTATATATTCTGGGTTAATAGACCCTTGTCAGCTGATTTGCAAACATTCTGCTATTCTGCGTGTTGTCTTTTCATTTTGTTGATAGTTTTCCTTTGATGCACACCTCTTAATGGAATTCGATTTATCTATTGTTTGTTTCTTGTGCTTTTGGTATCATATTTAAGAAATATTTGCTTAATCTAAGGTCATGAGAAAATTTACACACCCCAGTTTCCTTCTAAGAGTTGCAGAGTTTTAGCTCTTCTATTTAATCTTTGATCCATTTTGAGGTAATTTTTATATATATTATGAAGGAAAGTTTCAAGTCATGTGGAAAGGTTTCTTTTGCATGCAGATATTCAATTCTTTCAGCAACATTTGTTGAAAAAGCTATCTCCTTTCCCTACTGAATGCTCTTGGCCCCTCTGTCAAAATCAGTATTTGCTTTATGTACTCTGGAATTCTGTTTTTAGGTTCACAACTGACCGTGCCTTTATTTCAGGCACAAGTGATAAACCAAAATTTAACTGCCATGGCTGAAACTCTTTTTTAAAGAAAAGTTTTACTGAGCCAAACACACTCACTAAAAAGAAGACTAGTCTCAGGGCATGAAGTCTGAACCAACTGCAGTATTGGTCAGTGGAAAAATCTGTATGTATGTGGTCCCCGAGTTTGTAAGCATTTTTATAAACGCTGTGGGAGGACAGAGGTGGGGGAAGAAAGATGTAAGCCATGTCCTCTGAAAGATTTTACAGCAGCTATAGGCAAAGGGGCTGGCAAAAAAGAAGCAGGGTCAGCTCTGGGATAAGCACAGAGCCCACAAGGAAGAACACTGGCTCCTTTGGATCGGAGAGGCCAATAATCTGAGGAGTTTATGTATAAACATGTGGAGTCTCCTGGGACACAAAGGTACCTGGCTATTCTCTCTTTTGGACATTTGAGGAAATAGCTACCTGGAAGTTAATCCAGAAGTGCCAAACGACATACGCGTATATGAATATGAACAGTCTTGTTAGCTAGTCCATACCTATTAACAGGCTAACTGTTCTGTTTCTTCACTCTCTGGCCATTGTAATTTAATTTAGAACATCTCTCAGGAATATCCTCCTAGTCTGCAGCAACAATGTGAAATGTATTACCTGAAGGCAGAATAAAAAATATTTTCTACATTTAAAAATTATTGTTGATAAACAGGAAAAATTAGAGGAAACGGGAGCTTTCACAGAAGCAAATTGCATAGACTTTGATTGCTCCAGATCATACTAAGCCCAGAAATAGTCTAGACAAGGAGAAAGATATTCCTCAGAATCTTTCTGCAGAGAAAAGAGAACATTCTTTCCTTATCTATGAGCACTAAGTAGTTACTGAATAAAAATATTAGATACCTTTTATTGAGAGCTTACTGTTCCAGGTATTGTATTAGGTTTTTCTTTATTTCATTTAATTCTTAATAAGACCTATATAATGATGTATTATTTCAGTACAACTTGAGTCAAGTAGTCATCTCCAAAAGTGATTTTTAAGGAAGTCTTGCTAGAAGTGGGTAAGGTAATAGGGATAAGCAGGACAGAGAAAGGGAAGAAGCCAAACAAAGATGGGATTTCAAGAACTGTCCAGGTTGGAATGTAAATTGCAACCTCATTTTATCTACCATGCGATCAATGAACTTGGCTTTTATTCTCCCTACTCATCAGTCATTGGTTAAGGTCTACTAAGGAGGTATATAAACACTGAGTCACTTGGACTTTCTCTGTGGACAGCTGTGCTGTGGTAGCCAAGGACACTTCCTCCAAAGAGCCTCAGGAGCTCTCAGGTATTGTTGGTGAAGCTGGTTCCTGCAAATGAAAGAGGCAGAAGCTTGGGGAACGGTGATCAGAAAATGTGAGAGGGATCCCAGGGGATCTGGGCAGAGCAGACACAGTCTGCTACAGATAGGAGCTAACTTTTCCAATTTAGAGAGAGGGAACAGAAAGGTAAAGTGGCCAGTCACAATGAGAACGAGTACCTCTGACTTCAAATCCTTTTTCTTTTCCCCTTTACTTTAGGAATTTCCAAGAATCTCATTTCTTAGATACCATCGTGCTTTTTTCTTAAAACAGAAATTTTTTTTTCCAGATATTTTTAGGATCAGTCAAGTTGCATGTAGAATTTTGTACGTGTACATGGGAGTATATTTATAGGCTTTTTCCTTCTGGGGGGAGAGTCTATGACTAAATACATTTCTAAAAGGGAATATAAACAAAATGTTATGAATCACTATTTTAAGAGGTTGACCCCTCTTATTATTATTTTTTTTCTACTTATTTGCTTATTTTCCTGCCTAGGACCTTATAACTTGTTTAACACCATATGTCTCTAAAACATTGGCCTCAAGGACTCCTATTAATTATGTTAATCACAAATGGTAATTGAGGATGACAGTAGATCTCTACTCCCCATTTTAAGCCCAGCTTTCACTGCTACCCATAAGTTTAAGAAGGATTGGCACTCATTCTTCTTTAAATATTTGGTGTAATTCACCAGTAAAGCCTCTGGTCCTGAGCTTTTTTATACTGGAAGTTTCTGAGTGCTGATTCAACCTCTTTACTTGTTACAGGTCTATTTAATTTCTATTTCTAACTAGAAACACAAAGAGCTAACACGTTATTTTGTTAGGCAAATGGTTCACTAAAATTAAGGCAAAAAGTTCACTGAGGGCCTTAAATGACCTTGGTTTGTGTTTCCATTGATCAATTCAAGTGGATACTTGCTAGATACTCACTTTCTGTTGGTATGACTTACACACACACACACACACACACACACACACACACAAGCACAGTCAACCTGGATACCACATTTTAAAAAATTCAGAAATAAATCCCAGTATTTTTCTAATGTTTCTCTTTTGATTATGTGATCTAAGTGGGCAGACCTTTTATGTGCACTGGAACAGAGAATCACTGGAACTGGAAAGGTAATCATTGGAACTCCCTTTATAGAATGAATCTGAGAGTGTCTCTGTAAAGTGGGGACATTCTAAATTTTAGTATTATAGATCTAAGCCCATTGCCTGAGAAAGTTCTGAGGCTTTGGGGGGCTTGGGTAGAGATCTATATGCAGAGTTGTCCCTGGGGAGGGCATAGTTTCAGACCTTTGGGTGCATGGATGGGTGGCCGGTTCCAGCCTGAGCCCAGCTGCTGGAGGTTAACAGGCAAGGAGAAAGCCTTAGACAGAAAGGTAGTGCCTTTTCAACAAGTGCTAAACAAGTGGAAGAGTTTAAATACACCCCTAATCCTGGCTGCTTAGGCTAGGTAATGCTCTTAGGCTGTATTACTTCTCCCCATAATTCACCCTTTAATCATCTACCACCTTGGGTCCTATTTTGTTTTTTTCCATGTTAAATTTTGATGTAACGTACTAATACTAAATTCAAGTTCAGGAGTGTTTTCTCTTTATAACTTTCTAAGAGAGCATGACAGGCTGTGGGTTGCAGTGAGGCAATGTGAACCTAAACAGAATCCTTGATCTTTTTGGAAAGTGCTAGGCATATACTAAGCACAGGGAATATTTGTCAAAAGAACAGATGATGAAATGAAAAATTATGTGGCAGTTAGACAACAGTCACCCCAAGTCTCTACCTATTTCTCCATCTTAAAAGGAGCACACCATTATCATTTTCAACAAGTGTAACTCGCTGTTTTAGATTGAAAATGAAATATTGAGATTTCATTTTCATTTCAACAAATGTCCATTGCACTACCCAGAGGTATAAAAGATGAGGAATCCGCAGGGACGTGTTTAAATCACAAACTACTGTTAGTAGGAGCGAATGCATTTTTTCCTCCAAGTTCGAGGCTCGAATCTGTGGGAAAGTGAGGCCTGGGATTCAGAGCGCTTGTGCACCGGTGAGCAGGGCAGTCGGGACACATGTGATGCGATGCTGTCTGTCCCCAAGTCACGGAGGAGAGCCCTCACCAACCAGTAGGATTGCTCCGGGAATAAATAAACCCGGCCCAGGTTATGCATAACTGAACGGTGCTCTGGGGTCCTCCTCTCCCCGGCCAGGGCTCACAGTCCAGGTTGCCGGGCGGGCGCGTCGTTTGTTTCTCCGGGGAGCAGGGATGCGGACGTCTGCTCTTCCCCTGAAGAAGACAGTGAATCTTTCTCTGGTCTTTCTGGAAGCTTTTGGTATGAGAAGTGTCCTCGGACCCAGCGCAAGCTGAGAGGAAGGGAAGAAAGGCGGCGGGGGCGGGGGGGGGGGGTTGGGGGTGGGAAAGAGACATGGGGAATAGGACTCCATTGCTCCGGCGAGATGCGCGCAGGTGAGGATGCCAGTTTCGAGTTGTGCACCTGTCAGGACCGCAGACAGGTGGAGAAAGGCAGTCCCGGCTCGGCCCACCCGGTTCCCAGGGCGATCTGAGCTGTACCTGTGCAAGGCCTTTCTTCGCCACGACGCTGCGGGGATCCCGAGCCTGAGGCCCCCGCCCCTGTAGCCCCGGTCCCCAGCCCCGCCCCGCCCCGCCCTGCCCGAGGCTCGAGGCTCCGCGGGGAGCCGGCGGAGCAGCGGTGCCCAGGTCTCCTGCGGCCAGGAGGATGGCTAAGGTCCCGGAGCTGGAAAACGCCTTCCCGCAGGCGCAGCCTTCGCCCCAAGTTTCCTCCGAGGTCCAGGACGAGTGTTGTGTGCAGCTCCTGGGCAAGGGCTTGCTCGTTTACCCCCAGGAACGGGTGTACCTGGCGGCCGAAGCGCAGCCCGGAGGCGCGCTGGGCAGCAGGGAGAAAGCAGACGACTCTGAGCTGCGAATGGGAGTTAAATCAGGTGAGTACTCCGCTCCCTCCGGGGATGTGATTGGGACGGGGTTGATATAGTCTAAGAAAAGCATATAATAATTAAAAATAAAATAAAATAAACGTACCGTAAACATGCAGATATGTAGAATGTTCTGTTCGGATCTTTGTATTTCCGTCAGGGAAAAATATTTGTTAACTAGAAATTAAGGGACTTCGCATAGGTGTCCTCCCAGCCCCCCATTGGCCACCCCGTTTGACGCAAAGGTACGTTAAGAGGCTACTTAATCGATTTCATATTCTGATTTTCTGTATCACCTTTTCAAATTGCAATCAGAAATGCATTTAAGCAATGGGAGCTTTTCCTCTGAAGAAGAGGATTCGGACAGTCGCGACAGCAAAACCAAAGCAGCCGATCCACACCTATCTCAGAAGAAAAGCATCACGCAGATTATGAAGGATAAAAAGAAGCAGACACAGCTCACCCTGCAGTGGTAAGACCGACCACAGGGGTACACTTAAGCACTTGCTGAGCTTTAAAAGTCAGTATCTTCAGAGTCTTTGCTTTTCTCGTTTTGCTTCTCCCTCAAACTTTTTGTGGGAAGTTTAAAAGATCAATTAGAAATTTATCTCAAATTTTTTTTTCATTGAATATTTGGCATAGAGACATATTTTGGTACTGGTGAAAAATCATCTACAATACAAATAAAACCAAATCACTTTTTTTTTCATTATTGACTAAAACTATATTTTATTCAAATATAAGCAAAAATGAATGTTTTTTATGACTTATTTGCTTAATGTGAAATCGTTTTGCTCCTGTATATTTGTTATTTGGTAGCTTTGTGTTTATAAAATATGGTTCTTAAAAACAATTTGAAAGGATGAGGATCTTAACATTGCCTTTATCCATAAGAGAGCAAATTTAAAAATTTGCCATATGGTGAATTTAAAAAGAGGACATAAGGTGAAAAATATTTGAATGAAAAGAAATAGAAAAATCAGTTAAGATATCGCCATTAACTTAAATAAATGTTCAATTATTTTTATAGCACCTGTCATATATGATTTATTATTGTAAAAGATTTTGTGAAAAATCTTTTAATACCAACAGTTTACCAGTAGGCTCTTTATACAGAGGACATTTTGTAATATTGATCTAAAAGGAAGAAGGATCTAAAGTAAAACATCATATTAAATTTCCTCCTCACAGTGTGAAGAAATAGGAGTATACATTTTCTCCCAGATTCCAAATAATAAATCAACAAGTAAAAAAGTCTATCTACTGATTAGTTACATAATCTGTTTATATGTAAAGTATTATCTAAATCTTAGGAAAATGCAAAAAAAAGCATAAAATTAGTAAACTTTTGTTTTTATTTATTATAACATTAAATTTCAGTTTTATATACTACATTTTATAATTATATACTTGAACCCTTTCAAATATTTGAAATAGTAAACCAGTGATCTTCTAAAGTTATGGCTTAACTTTTGAAGTTGATGTCACACTTACTGGTTAAGAATACATCAGAGCAGTAAATAATTGAGCTAATAATCTGGGATATTTAAGATACAACTATTTTAATTAGAATAACTGGGGCAAAAGTGTTTTGATTTCAGATATATTATGTAGGTCTTTCAAATGATCACTTTCATTTTTTTCAGTTCAAATTGTGTGAATAAAAACAAATTTGTGTTTATTTTATAAATATGAATGCCTTTCAATTAAAGAAAGAAGTTATACTCCAAATTAATATTGTACCTATGTCTAGGATTGCTCAGCAATTTGAAGACAAAAGCAATGCTTATAACATCAAAACAGCCAGTGAAAAGTGGGCCTTATATGCATGTCATTAACATATAATTTTTAAATAGTTGAGTGTTTCTCAGTGATTTTCACATTTTCATTTAAATTTTCCACACCCTCTCCCCCCAAAAGTGATATATATTTTAAAAAACCTGAGTTATGTGTATTTTGAGACTTTTCCCTTAATATAGATGATACTGAGGATGGTAAAAATTAGAAATGAAAGTTAAAGTCTGATTGAGTAACTCCATTTTTCACTGTGAACTAGGTGTTCGGTTTTGTGCATGTAAACCTTACTTGGTTTTGCTTCTTTTTTTCCTTCTTCATAGCAAAATAGATGTCTAATGCTTTACCTGCTAGGGAACATATCCTTCACCTTTTATCTTACGTACATTGGGAATATGTTAAATCAGAGATCTTAAAGAGTTCCACTCAATTTTAATCTAAATGCATACTCTATATTGCATTGTTCTTATATAATAATAATTATGACTTTACGTAATTTGGTAAATTTTAGCCTAAATCACCCCCTGAATTATCACAAAAACTGGAAATAGAATCTACAAGTTATAATTTCTTGATTTCTCTTCTGATATTTGTAAACTTTAAATATATATCATTACATTTATATAAAGTGTATTTAATTGCAATTACAGACATCCAAATTAAATAGAATTATCTCTAAATTTTCAAAGCTTGTATTATTATGTTTGTAATATAGAGCTTAATTTATGTCATTTAAGGTAGCCATGTAATTTATTTCATTATTTACAGGTATCTATAGAGAATTACATAATGTTTCAAATGTGCAGGATATTTTAGGTAATTATAGTACTACTCGCAGTAAAGGTGTAAGATAAAAATAGATCGGTACCATTTTGGAGGTAAGTGAAGTGAGTTTACTCTTAGTTATTTTCCAAATACATGCATCACGATGCTTCCCTAACTATTCAGATTCAGAACTAGTTTGTGAATAAAAGTAAGTGATTGTAGACATTTGCCATCCTTCAGGGCCTGGCAGCCCTTTGGTATTGCGAATGTTCTTTAAAAAAAAACCCCATCATTTTCAATTTCAGTATTAATGTTTGTATATCACAGAACAAACCCCAATGAACAGTGAAGATTTACAATACATAGAAATAAGACCTATTCTTCGGGGTGTGGACAAGGCAGGAGTGGTTTTATGTTAGTCATATTATTTTAACTGCATCAGCAGGTGTTCATTGGGGTTTTTGCTCTTCTGACAATAATCTATGATCTGATTTTGAATAATTTCCAGAATGTGTCTACTCATGAACTCATTTGTATAAACTGTCTATTCAGAATGGGCATTAAATCAATATGAAAGGGGAGTGGAAAGGAGATATAACAAAATGTTTTATTTGAATTTTTGCCTTTTTTTCTTAGGCTTGAAGAGAATTACATTGTATGTGAAGGAGTTTGTTTACCACGGTGCATCCTTTATGCACACTATTTAGATTTCTGCAGAAAAGAGAAATTGGAGCCAGCCTGTGCAGCCACCTTTGGAAAGGCAAGTGACACATATTAGCTATACTACCTTACAATTCAAGTCATGTGAGGCAGAGGGTATGGAAACAGATTCATCCAAACAAGTTTTCATAGAGGATATTAAGAGATTTGTTTCTCAAGTCATAAACAAAGTCTCCTAAAAGCTGTATCTGGAACTGTTACATGTTTTACTTAGATTTTACCTACTATATATTTTACTTTGAACTACTATATGTTAGAACCCTACCTCTCAGAAGGTTTAATGTGACCTTAAAGGAAACTCCATTTGAGCAGTGACATTTCTCTTCAAAGTGGGATATAGTAAAGAGTGTGGTCTAGATTGTATTGAGAAACAAAATTAAGTGGAGGTGACAAGTATCTTGGTAATGCAATTGATTATTATTATCTAATGAGTCCAGGTATAAGATTTTAAACAGATTTTTATTTTATTACATAAATATTATAGAGCTTCTAATTCTCCACTTCACTCTGAATATATTTACACCTCAAACTCCATGATGTTATGGGATTGATTAAATTTATCTTATTTTTATACATTTCTTTCTACCCAAATTGTATGACTATGCTGGGAATCTATAGAACCGACATGACTATATTTATATATGCTGATCTCATTTTCAAAATCAGGAAACACTATAAGTATTTTGTGAAAGTCTTGTTCTTTGAAATTCTTATGCTCAAAGGCCTAAGAACCTAGGATAACCCCAAAACGCTGTAGGAAGCTCAACTAAGTCTCCAACAGTGCTATCTTATATAAACTGAAATCCAAATTCTAGCCTGTAGAGGGACTCATTGCCCAGAAAATAATGAAAACTGAGCGGTTCTGCCTCTCAGTTTTTAAAAATAAAAATGATTTATTACCTTACTTTAAAAATCTGTTTACGAGAGTAGTGTGCCATGGTTCATGGTCACCCAGTGAGTTAGGCTCTAGCCTAGACTGTGACTAATTTGTGTGAGATCTTCTTAAACTCATTTAATGTCTTCAAAACTCTGCTTCTTGTTCTATAAAATAAGGACGCTGGATAAGACTTTTAATGTCTATTTTGGCATTGCTATTTTATGAGCCACCTTATGGCAGCGATTCTTACCTGTTTGGGGTGTCATGACGCACCCTGAGAAACTCATAAAAACTACAAAACCGGATCCCAAGAAACTAACATGGACATAAAGTTTGCCATGGAGCCTTTAGAAGATCAGTATGAATTTCCTGTAATCCAGATTAAAACCCCTGCTTTATGTAGAAGAGATTTTTGTTCTTTAATCAGATGTTGTTATTATTATTTATTATTTTTTTAGCAAATTTAGAGAAAGAAATGCAGAAAAAAATTTTAAAACATTGCTGTGGAGATCCTGTAAAGCAGAAAAGGTTTTATGTGTCCCTCCAGGGTTAGAGACAGGTGTTTAATTGTGGATAAACCTCTGGATAGAATTATGATAAAGAAACCCAGATCTTTCCACTAAGTTGATAAAGTGACAAGTGTGTTGGATATTGAGACAATTTTTACTTGAAGTTTAATATTTACTCTCTAGAATTAATTAGTTACGGGTGATTTGCAATAGAACCACACACTTTCTGAAAACTAAAGTAATTGATTTTCTTTGTAGACAATTCGTCAGAAATTTCCCCTCTTAACAACACGGCGGCTTGGAACAAGAGGCCATTCAAAGTAAGACATGTCAATATCCACATATCAGACAAGTACATATGATACCTTGTGCATGAAGACTGACACAATGTAAAATAAGTATTGTCTTTATTGGTGAATAGAACCAAGTATTTTCTTCTTGATGAAGCAGACTTCTACCAACTGTTAAGAACTAAAAAGAAGTGGATTTTAGGATTATGTTTAAAAAGCATAATTTGCAGATAAATCATAATATTTTTTCTAATGAAATAATTTAAATAAATCATTTTCATAATCTTAAAGCCACTCCTGAAGGCGCCAGTGTCACAAAGGGGAAATGTATTTATCTAAATAGGCGACCAAATGGAATCCATGCTTCTAAAGAACAAGGCCAAAGCCAGGGGTTGAAGTATAGTTCAGGTTCTTCCTCTGGCTTTCCTTCAGATAATAATTTTTAGAATCTCGTCTGTCTCCTTGAAGACAAATAACATCCCCAAATGACATCTTTGGTCATCTCTTAGTGTAAATATAAACATAAAATAAGGTGTCATATATTCCCTCTCTGGTAACTTCAGCTATTTTTTTTCTTTTGTGGCAATCTTTGTATAACTCGCAGTTACAAGTTCTTGCCCATCAATTATTTGCTTTTTTTCAGTTTTTAGTTTTTCCTTTCTTTCTCCCTACAAACATATCCAGACCTTTTTTATGTAGGTAAAAATAAAATTATCTCAGACCTCTATACTACTCTTCCTAATTATTGTTATTTTTTTCTTTGCTATTTCTTGAAAGAGTAGCTATCTGCTCCCTTCCCCTAGTGTGAATCACATGTCTCCGTTCTAGTCCATTTCTTCACGAGCTATCGGGCAAAAACCCAATAGCTCATTTTTGCTATTACTCAACTTCCTTGGCACCTGTCTAGCTAGCATTTGAATGTGTGGATAATGTCCCCTCAAAATGAACTCATACGTAGCACTTTCTTGATGCTTCCCCGTCACAGCCCTGCCAGGGCTTCTTCCCTTCCTTACCTCATTTTTTAGTTTGTCCAGTGTCTCCTTGTGCCCTAACATCTAGTTCAGCCCATTCAATGAACTAAAGTGCAGCCACATAGTTAAAAAAAATTCTAGTAGCATATTAAAAGAGTAAAAATAAGAACAGATATGATTGATTTGTATGTTTCACTTAATCCAACATATCCAGAACAGTTAATTACCATGTAATTCAAATAAAAATTATTAATGAGATGTTTTATATTCTTTTCTGCCAAGTTTTTGAGATCCAACACGCTTACAGCACACATCTTAAGTCAGACTAGTCACATTTCAAGTGGTCAATACATCTACATGACTAATGGAGACTATTGCCTAGCTCAGTCATAGTCACTTGCCAAAAAGGAGATCCTTTCTTTGGACTTCTCTTGAACCTGTTTTCATTCTTATTTTCATACTCTGGCCTTGACCCAGTCTTTCCAGTCTACTCAGTACACTTTTTTCCAAATTAACCTAAAGTTCAGATTCAATCGTGCCTCTCTCATGCTCAGAAACTTTCACCAGCTCATAATTTCTACTATGAAAGACAAATTTTTCTCACAGTGGCATTCCAGGTCTATTATGATTTAGTCCCAATCTATTTTCCTATCATATAATCTACTTATTTCTCAGCATGTAGCCCATGCTCTCCTCAAATTATTGTCCTATTACCCATTGCTTCACCTTCAACTCTCACTCCTTTGTTTATGCTGTCTTCTTCCATTGAAAAGGATCTTTTCCCTTTAGATATGTCGAAATAGTATACATTTAAAAGAATGTCCCATGAACCAACTCTTCTTCAGAATCTTTTCTTAGCCTCTTGATTTATTTTAGATTCTTTTTTTGTATTCTCATAGCAACCTGAAAATGTTGTTAGTTCTTTGAAAAAGAACCTAGTATATCAATAGATTTAATACCTATTTTAATGTGAAATTAACTTATTTCTTCTACTCCACATATAGAGGCTTTGTCTCATTCGTATTCATATTTTATCTGTTGACTGATACATAATAGACTATCAATTAGTATTTATATAATTGATTCCATTAATACTAATAAAATTGTAACCTGAGAAGGAAAAACAAATGCCAGATTGGAAGATAATATTGGATTTTTCCTTCTAATCAAGTCATTTTTTTTTCAAAGTTGAGTTATTTTATCTGGCTAAATTTTACTGAATTTGAATTCTACTGAATTGTGTGTGGAGAAAAGATCAGTCAGTATTTAAGTTGGTAGATAATAGAAGAGGCAAAGCAATGCTGAGAAATCCTCTTCATGGGATCTACAAGAGGGCAGGCAGGCAGGTTGCAGAGAAAGTCAATTAATCCTAGAAGGAGACTTTAGGATTAGGGATGAATCATTAACCCTGTCCTTTGTGACAGAGTGAGGCTCTGATATTTAGGTTTATGTAACAATACATGGTGAATTCAGGCAATTTGTTTGGTATCTAAGAGTGACATGCCCAAGAGCAAAGCACTGGCAATTTGAATTTTCTTCTACCTTCCTGATATATGATTTGTTTTATATAATTTACCTATTATATGTTCTGTATTTATATATCATTAGAAATAAGAAATTTTCCACATGTAAACTAGGATGTTGAATGATATGGCAAAATGTAGAGTTTGTAATTACTAATGTTTTGATACAATTATTCTTAGCTAGTAGTTCTCCTGTTTTTATATATTTTCAAGAAATACTCTTAGATTTTTTTTGATAGTATATATATAAAAAGGCAGCATTGCCTAGTAGTTAGGAGCATAAAGTTTAAAGTTGGACAAATCTAAACTTTAATTCCTTACTTCTATACAGAGCTGTGTATGACTCTAGATGAATTGTTCAGCTTTGCATCAGTAAAACAGGTATAAAATACCTATCTCATTTTTATCATGAAAATTAAATAAAATAAATTACAGAATGAATGGAGAAATAAAAATGGTTTCAACTTTACTATTCTTAATAATATGAAATTAATCACTCAATGAATCCAAGTATCAGCAGTGTAGTTAAAGTTATTATTTATTGAGAATTATACGTGCACACACACACAACCCCCCTATAATCCTTACAGTGATGAGATTGGAATTCCTGTGTTTTACAAATGAGAACACTGCAGTTCAAAGATTATTGACTTGCCCAAGCCCACAGAGATATTATAAAATAACAATATTGGCATTTAAATAAAAGTTTATTTGGCTCTGAAGTTTGTGCTTTGTCAGCTACTAAAGCCTTCTTTCTTTTGGTATCAGTCATATCAACACAAGGATTGTTTAACTGAAGTTTTGGTTTTTTCAAATATAATTTTCACTGTTTTTTTCTGATCTAAGTTTTAAAAATTTATTAATATATTAGATTCTTTTTCAAAGAGCTAACAACATTTTCTCAAGCCTCAAGCATAAGGAATTTTAAATTATTTTATACTTATTGGAATATATTTATATTTTATATTAAAGCAAATTTGTAGTACAAACACAGATTTGCTTTCTGCTTTTAATTTTTGTCCTAAACATTTCTATATGTTGGTATGTTATCTTCATACTCATCATTTCTAATGGCTGTTTAATATTTTAAAAATTTACATTTTATGAAAGGCATTTTTATTTTTGTAAAAATATGAACAAATGATGAACCAGAAATATAAGTGAAGAAGTAAGCATATTTTGGAAAAGAAGGAATTTGTAATTTCTCCCAATTTTACTAGTAATTTTGTAAAATTTATTTTATTGTCATAGTGTTTAGTACAGTGCCCTAAATATACTATCACTGAATTTTTATTAAACTATTTCAAAAATAAAAATAAATTAGGTATTAATTTATTTTAACTTTTGTGGATTATATAATGAAACATATTAATGATGGTCATTTAAAATATAAGTTCTCAATTTTTGCCAAATTCTTATGGAATATGCTAGAGTATGTCCAGTCATTTCATTTGGGTCTTTCAGACCTAATTTATTTTAGATCACGATTAACTAAAAGATTCTTCTGTATTGTGGGCACAAGATGAACCACTGTTCCTAAAACTGTCCTTAGATGCTGTTAGGGTCCATGAAGCAATGTCACTTCCCAGATTTTACTGGTTCATGTGTGAAATTCTAGTGATATATGTAACGGATCATGGATCAGGAAAACACTGATCTATGGTGACAAAGAGGTAATTAGTAGATTCTAAAAAAATAAGAATGAATTTTGTGTTTATTTTTAAGTCTGTTTCTCTAACTTCTGACGTAAGTGAGTATTAAAAGTGGTCAGTCCTCACAACTCACCTTTGTGCAAGCGCTTTCCCTCATCAAAAAAGTGAAAGATGAACACAGTTTAATTAAATAAAATGAGCCAAACGCTTATTCAACCAAAAGGAAGGAGAAAATATTTTAAATGAACAGATACAGTAAAAACAACAAGAAAAACAAATTGACAGAATCACTATGTAGGGCCCATTGTCAAAATCAGAAACAATTAAAAATTCACTAATTTATTTCCAGTGGCAAGTTAGATAGATGTTCCTCATAAGAAGCCATTGCTGCTGAAGGTTATGGGAAAAGGTCTCTAAAGCTTAACATTTGAGGTCAGAAAGCGTCACTCTTGCAGGGGTGTCCAACCTGCAGCCCACGGGCCACAAGCAGCCCAGGGTGGCTGTGAATGTGGCCCAACACAAAATCATAAATTTACTTAAAACATTATGAGGTTTTTTTTGTGATTACGTGTCACAATGTATTTAATGTGTGGCCCAAGGCAACTCTTCTTCCAGTGTAGCCCAGAGACATCAAAAGGTTGGACACTCCTGTGAAAATCTAAACTAAGTTTGATTTGGGGACAAAGCCAGTCTAATTGCAGGCAACATTAGCATCTCAGCTCTTCTTTCCTTCCTTCACTCCTACCATTACCCTCCCTGCCAAGAAAATCAATATTCCCAATGATGGATTCTTCACATTCTCACCACGACGATAAAAAACTGACTTTGCTTTTGTGTTTTTGTTTATCTTCTCTTTGATTTGCAACCGATGCCAAAAATATACA